ATCTCGAACAATGGGAGGCGGGACTTAGCTCATTTGCATAAGTAGGGAGAGGTGTGACCTGTTACACCACCTGTCACTTTTCATGCATACTAATGTGATTGAAACAGTATGTGTATTACTACTCTTATGCTTGCCTATTTTTCCTGCTTCCAACTCATCAGCTTTGAGGACAAAGTGTTCACTTGCTGCCTAACATATGACAGGTGCCATTGAAACGAGATCCATGATCTTCACTTCACCAATGTTATTGCTGATCAGTGTAAACTTTGCCCAACAACCAAGCTGGGTCACTCTCATAATTTGTGACAAACTGTTCTTCAGTTATGGCTTCTTTTGTCGTGCACCTTCACTGCTTCCAGCCGCTGGGCTCTGCAGCCCCTCAGTGATGGGGGTCTTCCCTCAGCAGGTGGTCTTGGTAATGCCTGTTGTGTGATGCAGCTTCTGCTTCCTCATTATTGAACTAACGGTATACAGGGAATTCCAAACACTTAGATATTATTTTGGGGTTGAATACTTATCCAAGCAGCAGTGGCGGCTGGTGGAAAATATTTTTGGTGGGGCTGTTGATATAGTGAGTAAAACATTTTTTTTGGGAGAAATGACCCCTTAAATTAGGTCTTCTGGTAATGTAATGGCGCGTTTCCAATGCAGCGCGGAGCTCGCTTTAATGCTGCGTTCAAACCGGACGCAATGCGAATATTCGCTTCGCTCTAAACGCTCCTATCACATCGCTCTAGTCGCTCGAGTTTCACCGCGGCTGCCAGCTGTGTTTACTCGCATCATTCAAACAAGACGCGCTGGCTCGGGAGCTACAACTACAACAAAATGAACATATTTTACCGTGATTAAATTGTAATACACGTTTCTAAATGATGCCGACGTAACAACATACTGATACCGGTTAGTAAAAACCATGAATTAATGCTTTGACAAGTCTGCAGACAGACGGCAGGCGAAAAACCTTTTAGAATGCTTGTTTTCTGAATGGAGATTGGGTCGACCATGCTAAGCTAACGTTGTATACACACTCATAACAACGGCCTACAGACATAAATAAACGAGCGACTGTATTCGCCATGACACAGACAGTGCCGAGCCGTGCGGGGCCCGTTTTTGGTTGCGTTTCCACTTGGCCTAGTACCGGTTAGCGGGTCCTAATTCACAGTTGTTCTGGCCCCATAAAATCGTGGTTCTAGGGCCAGGAACAACCAGGCTGAGTCGGGCTGAGTATGCTAAACTAGAGAGAGAATCGCTGGCAAGGGGGCTACAACTACAACAAGATGAACATATTTTACCGTGATTTAATTGTAATACACGTTTCAAAATGATGCCGAACTAACAACATACTGATACCGGTTAGTAAAAACCATGAATTAATGCTTTGACAAGTCTGCAGACAGACGGCAGGCGAAAAACCCTTTTAAAATGCGTGTTTTCTAAATGGAGCTTGGCTAAGCTAACGTTATATATGCTCCGACCGTCCACACTCACAACAACGGCCTATACAGACATAAATAAACCAGCGACTGTATTCTCCATGACACAGACAGTCAGTGGTTTGTACTTGTTTAACTTTTGTCTAGTTTCTGAACAAATCGTATCTGTCCCCGGCTGTTTGAAGAGCAAGCATGGGAAACAAAAGACAGCATTTACCTGTTTGCATCCAGCTAGCCATGCCTTTCTGGTGTACCAGCTACGTGAGAAGCCTCGTTGATACGTTTTGTCTTTTTCACGAGCTTGCTGCGATATATACAAATCCGGTTGGTCCGGTCCAAGGTCTTTAAGCAACAGTTTATCTCCCAAACTTCTCCTTTCGAAAGGATTGGAGATTAGCTCTTGAACGGAATTGGGCGGGGACCGAGGTCCGGCGACTCCACCTGCACACGAAGCCATTCTCATCCAACTACTGCGTCACCTTGGTCACTCACGAGCATAGTTGGGTGTAACGCGTTACTGTAATAATATTACTTTTGTCGGTAACGGAGTAGTGTAACGCGTTACTTTTATAATTTAGTAATCACACTACAGTTACTAACATTGCCCCGACACGCGTTACTTCGTTACTTTTATAAAATAATCACACTCACTGACAGACTAGAGGGGTTTCCGCCACAGGTTTATATACACGTAGGCCTATGTAATCTGCGCGACTTGCGAGACCACATCTCCACGTGCAGTGCTGCATAAACATGGCTGAGTCTTTTCATCTGTAAACTCCCTCAATGGGGCCGCTCGCTCTCTTTTGTTGATCGCCCTCTCACGGGTGAACAGTTCAATGTCCCGCTTCATTGTAGGAATTCTGTCTCTACCACTTTAGTTTGACCATCTCTGTTATTAAGTTATGGAATACTAAATACATAAGTAATTAGATACCTTACCGTGACTGCGCTCATAAAGAATGATAAGAATAATGCGTCTTGAACTGGTTTAATTAATTAGTGTCTTGACGTTTCACAGACTGTTAGCTTGTTGTGGTAGGCTGGTAGCCTATTTTAGAGCATATAAAAAGAAAGACTTGTGTTATGTCTTCCTTAATGCAATAGTAATTGGGGGTGCAAGTGGAGTCTCGCAGAGGCAAAACTGTGGCGCGCACACTGTAGGTGCGCCGCAGTCTGCGTGATCTGCCTGTAGGGAGGGGCGGGCCGGCCCTGCGAGTAAAGTAACGAGTAAAGTAACGAGTTACTTTATGTAGAGAGTAACGAAGTAGTGTAATATATTACTTTTTTTTAAAGTAATATGTAATATGTAATATATTACTTTTTTTTAGTAACGACTCTGCTCACGAGTCTAAAAAACAACTCACGTCAACGGACGTAAGCAACGTGGGCGCCAACGTGAGCGCCCTCGTGACCAAAATATATGACGGCGCTGATTGGCTGAAATTATGTTTCGGCGGCACAGTTTACTATTGAGACTTTTGCAACGTGCTGGTTGCTGCTGTTTGGCTCGGGGGCTCCGCCCGGTAATGATAAACTAATGCCACGGGCAAGGCCAGGCAGGAAACATGTGACTTATCAGTAACTTTAGACATCGTAACACAATTTTAAACGAGATTTTATTGTAGATTATACATTTTACTGATACCAATTGTATGATATTTACCTTGTTCATTAAAAATAAAAATATAAAATATATATATTTTTAAAATATTTTTTTTACAAATATTTTTGTTTTAATTTAATAATATTTTTTTTTGTATGTGGGAAGAGGTGGGGCGGCGCCCCTATGGGCCGGCCGCCACTGCCAAGCAGCATGTTTCAGTTTTTCATTTGTCTTACACATTTTCTAACATTAACATATTTTGCTTTAAAACAACTCATTTTAGGGTCAGTCTTTTGAAATAAAGAATGAACAAATCTGATCATTTTATGTCGGGTTAAATACTTTTGCATGCCACTGTATATATATAATTTCAAATTCTGTGTGTTCCGTTTGGGAGAAAGGTTACCAGTTACACATTGTTGTCAATACAAACTTTTTATAGAACCCCCACAGTGTCATTTAAAATTAATTCTCATTTAGGTTTAAGGAGTAATAGCATATTTATAACATAACCTAAAAGAGAAATCTCTTTTAAATTCTCTCTGATTATATTTTGCACCTTTCTGCACAGCCCTCCACTTTAAATATAATACATAACATGTCACTTGTTATGCGCTTTTATCCAAAGCACTCACATACTCAACACTGTGGGCAATCCCCACAGGAGCACTTTGGGGTGAAGTGTCTCAGGGACACAACGACATGCTGACTGCAGTGGGGTTTGAACCTGTCCCCCCCCGATCCAAACACCAACACTCAACCCACTGCGCCACAGCTAGTATTATAATACACTGCATTTTGTCATAATATATTGTCACATATTCATTGTTACGTTTTTGTGTTTATTTTGTATATTTAAATTGGGTGTAAATACTTGCCCTTATTCTTTTTAAATGTTAAATAGTTTTTTGAAAATACTATTTTTGACCTTTTCTTCCCACGTTTTTTCACATGTCGTTTATGTTTGCACCAACATACACCAAAGCAAATTCCTTGTATGTGTAAAGGTACATGGCAATAATGATGATTAACTACTTGAAGTGTGGGTGGACATACTTTTTACATTTATTACAAAATATAAAAGTTTGTAAAATTAGATATGATAACACATGCACAACACAATATGTCTTCAATCGGTTTTCGGCTGAACTATATCCTTCATGTTGCCCTTTAACCGCTGTATTGTAAATAAGCAGACACCACATTATTACTTGCACACAATAAAATGTAAATTTAATTCTTGCTTTTTAAAGTTGACCAAAAACAATCCTGTGTTCCAAAACTGCAGTCACTAAATACAGGATACCATACAAAACCTACAAAATGCAACAATTACAAACAATTTGTTCAACAGATAACAATTGTACAGTATAAATGTATACAATACTGTTTTGATTTTATTTGGCACTTGACCACAAGATGCTATTTTGTTTTAACAGATTTGTTACACCTGACTTAACTTAAAAAAAATTCAGAAACTCTGAAAAATACAATAAAAGCAACAGTGACAGTGTCATTGCAGTAGTTGTGATTTTCGGTTTGTTTGTCTACATCTTTTTTTCTTCCCAAAAAAACAGCAGTTGTTTAAAACATTCAAAGCTTTTCTAATCGGAATATAATGCAGTAACTGAAACGGCTTGGCTGTGTGTGGTGGTGTGTGGTGGTGGTGTGTGTGTTGTGGTGTGGTGTGTGTGTGTGTGTGTGTGTGTGTGTGTGTGTGTGTGTGGTGTGTGTGGTGTGTGTGGTGTGTGTGTGTGTGTGTGGTGTGTGTGGGTGTGTGGTGTGTGGGTGTGTGTGGTGTGTGTGTGTGTG